AGAGCTGGCGTTCTTTCGGTCGACATCGCCGGACCACTCACCAAAGCTCCAGACCTGGGCAAAGACCATGCTCGTTTTGTCCTGGTCGCGGCGTTCACCTGGCCTACAGGCCTGAAGGGTGACGACTTAGAAGAGTTGCCCGAGGAGGATGATGAGGATGATTTCCCAGGCTGGGAAGAAAATGAGGAGAAACCAAAAGAAGAGATAGGGTCCCAAAAGCCAGGAGCCAAGAAGCGAGGCAGGCCAAGGAAGAAAGACCCTGAGGAGGAGTTTGAGGAGCTGCTGAGGAGAGAGCAGGAAGAACAGAAGCAGAAACGGCAGAAGGAAAAGGAGGCTGCAGAACCCCCAGGAACTGAGGAGCCCTTAAAGGAGGCCGCAGAACCCCCAGGAGTTGAGGAGCCCTTGAAGGAGGCTGCAGACCCCCAGAAGAAAGATGATGATGAAAAGGAAGGGGACTATATGACCCGGGTGGCGCCCGATGTTGAATATGAGCCCACTGAACCGGGCGAAGACCCTTTCCCACAGGTGCCAGCACCAGATGTCCCTGAAGAGCAACAGGCACAAATACAAGTGCACCGTTTGGCATTCCCCTTGCCAGACAAGAGAGGCATCACGATCTTGAATGCCCTGATCGATGCCTACCTCACCTTGAGGAGTGAAGGCATGTTTGTCAATCAGCTCCACTCCGATTTAGGAGGTGAGTTCACTGGAGCGTACATTGAAAAGTGGTGCAGGGAAAGATGCATCCTCACAACAACAACCCCAGGGGTATCCCCTCAAACCAACGGCCGAGCAGAAAGGGCCGTACAAGCAATGAAGACAGAGACGAAGAAAATCCTGCGTGGCGCGCAGGTGGGTATCGAATGGTGGCCGATTGCTGTTCGATATCTCAATGAAGTATGGAAGAGAAACAGAACAGAGGCCATTGGGGCCATCCCACCGTTCATGTCCAAAGTGCTGATCAGAAGAAGGTATTGGCGCACAAAGGACATGGAACCCAACAACGAAGAGGTTCACTACCTCGCCCCATCCTGGCGGAACTATGGGCATTGGGTACTTCGCTCAGACAACACACAAACCTTGACCAGGGCTGTCATCACCAACACCGTGGAGCCAGTCACTGAGGACACGTGGATTGCCTTAGAAGACAATCTGACTCCCTTGGATCTTCGAAGGAGAATTCGAGGAAAAGCCATGATCAGAAAGGTACAAGAGGAGAAAGATGAAGAAAGCAGGCAAGACAGGCTGAAGCGGGAAAAGGGGATACAGGAAGAGGCAGAACATGCCTTCTATGATGATGAAGAGGTTGTTGAGGCCGTACTCAGGGGGGTGAAAGCCATGCAAGAGATGGATCAAGAGGATGAAGGAGAAGTGCTCCAAACGAAAATTGTGGGCACTGCCGAGGTGGTCAAAAAGAAAGACCTTTGGCATCAGGCCATTTCCAATGAGATCAATTCACTCTTCTCAGAAAAGAAAGCGTTGAAGCTTTTGACGAAAGAGGAGAGCGACAAGTATCTCAAAGAAAGAGGAGCGATTCCACTACCTTCCAAGACCGTATTTACGGTGAAGCCAGATCCGGCTGATCGTCGGGGAAAGCGAAAATGTCGCATAGTTGCATGTGGCAACTATGAGACTGGGGGTGGAGATGAAAACTGTTTTGCGGCAGGAGCAGATGCTGCTGCCCTTAGGCTGGCGCTGGCTCTGGCCACAGTTCGCAAATGGTGCGGCATCAATGTGGACATTCGCACCGCCTTTTTGAACGCTCCCTGGAAACATGAAAAGGGGGGTGAAGATTGGTTTTTTGAAGAAGAAGGCGAAGAAGCTCCGCTGCCAATGCTTCTTAGGCCACCACCAATTTTGGTCAAACTTGGCTACTTTCCTCCCTATCAGCTGTGGGAGGTTTTGCGAGCTCTTTATGGCTTCCGGAGGTCTCCGAAACTCTGGAAGGATTATAGAGATGAGGAGATGGAAAAGATGAGAGTTGGAAAGATGAGGCTGCATCAGCTTGAATCAGAGCCGAGCACATGGGCCATCCGCCAAGAAGAGACTGGCGAATTGCAAGGGCTCATGCTCACCTATGTCGATGACATTTTGGTCCTTGCCTCAGAGGAGACTGCAGAAGCTTGGATCAGCTGCATCCAATCCAAGTGGGAAACCTCCGTCCCTGAGAAGGTGGGCTGTCAGCAAACCACCCGGTTTTTGGGTATGGAGTTGTCTCGAGATCAAAATGGAGTGTGGTGCGCCACTCAACACTCCTACACTTTGGATCTCTTGCAGAAGAACATGGGGATGGACAGACAGAAGTGGGGATTGAAGAAGATTCCCATGTCAAAGGAGGATGGAAGTTTGGATAGTGATGGTGAGGAGGATGCAGAAAAGACAGTGGAAAAGGTTCGAGAAGCACAGAGAATTGTAGGTGAGCTGACCTGGCTGGTGACCAGGTGTCGCCCCGACATCATGTATGTCATGTCCAGAATTTCCAGATGGACCACCAGACGACCTTCCAAGGTCATTGCTGCAGCGCCTCAGATCTGGAAATACCTTGCGAATTCCATCCAAGAAGGGATTCGCTTTGTAGGAAACGAAGATGGTTGCCTAGACCTCCTGGTCTACACTGACGCGGCCTATGGAAATGAAGGCCACGGATGTTCAGTGGTGATGTGGCTGGGAGCTCCAATTTTGTGGCGAAACTCGCGCCAACAACTTCAAACCGCATCCACAGCAGAGTCGGAGCTGTTGGAGATTTTGGAAGGAGGAGTTTTGGCAGAGGCAGTCCGAGTAGTGGTGGAAGAAATTTTGGAAAAGGCAGTGCGATGTTGGCAGTACTCGGATTCTGCCTCAGCCATCGCCATAGTTGGAGGCGACAGTGCGTCCTGGAGGACGCGCCACTTGAGAAAGAGGGCTCGCTACATGAGATGGCGGGTGCTGAGTGGAGATGTCATCCTCCGACACACTCCAGGCAACGGCATGATCGCCGACCTGGGCACCAAAGCTTTGGCGGCATTGAAGTTGGAGGAGCTGAAGAAAGCCATGGGCATGACAGATAGAAAGATCAAAACAGAAAAAGAAAAGGAAGATCTCGGTGTGGTGAGAGGGCCTACCGAAGAAAAAGAAGAGAATGGCGTGGTGAGAGAGCCGGCCATAGAGACGAAAGAAGCGAAAGGAGGGATAAAGTCCCCAAAAGATATGGTGAGGATGGCGATGATCATGGCCATGATCAGCCGAGCGAAGGCCGAAGATGAAGATGGAGATGCAGGAGAGGAATCATCCATCTTCTTTGACATGATGATGGTATATACGATAGTGGTGGTGTTGGTCACGTTGGCCATTCAAAGCGGCTGGAAGCGACGACTGCTCAGGGCTGAGACGGCTGTGGGACCAGATCGGTCCCGCGGCGAACTCGCTCAACGGAGTGCCAGGACATTGGGTCTGATGACCGATGGTCCAACCTCCGTCCCGGGTGAGACGGTTCTGGGATTCGGTGGAGGAGACCAATCTCGGGACGAACTCCCCAGGGGAAGCAGTCAGTTGCTCGGGAGTGCCAGGACATCAGGTCTGACGTCACAGACTGGTGGTCCAACCTCCCTGCCGGGTGAGACGGTTCTGGGATTTGGTAGAGGAGACCAATCTCGGGACGAACTCCCCAGGCGAAGCGGCCAACCATCTGGGAGTGCCAGGACGTCGGGTCTAGCGTCACAGACCGATTGTCCAACCTCCCCGCCGGGTGAGACGGTTCTGGGATTTGGTGGAGGAGACCAATCTCGGGACGAACTCCCCAGGCGAAGTGGCCCACCACTAAAAGAAGAAAAGGAAGAAACACCAAAGGCTGTAAAAAGAGCCAAAAGTATGGGCCAGTCTTCTGCGTCCAAACAGGACGGACAGAAGAACACTTATGGCCAACCAGCTTCAAAACTGGAAGCTCCGCTACCAGAAGATCAAACAGCCTCTGCAGGAATCCAAGAACCAGCGATTCCCAAGGCGGCAGCAGAAAAGAAAGAAGTTGCTCCGCCACCAAAAGTTTTGCAATCAAAGTCAAAAGGAAAGAAAGGTGATGAAAAGAAGCCAAATGAAACGACCTCAACAGGGATGACGCAGATCAGAACCAACCATGCTGCAGCCGAGCCAAAAGTTGCAGCTTCCTCATCCACCAGCACTGGTGCTCAGATCCCTGCGGATCCATCTTCCAGTGCTGCCCCATCGATTGACCTGTACTTTACAGGCCTTGGAAAGAAATATCACTTCCGAAAGGATTGCTATGGGTTGAGAAATTCACAGATGGTGCGACACACCGATATCTGTGAGCAGTGTGTTCCTCAACTTCGCGGATGGCATCCTCGAGGGAGAGACATGTATGGAGCTGGATTGAATGGACCCCAGCACACCGATGTGACTCACTGCGAAAAAATGCATGGATATTCCATTGCGTATCAGCCGTGTAATTGGTGTGCGAGGCCAAATGAAAGCGAAAAGTGAAAAAAGGTGCGATGACATGCAAAGTGAAAAATTTTGGAAAAGAAGAGCGGAAAAAGAACATCTGAGAGAGGGCTTGAGCTTTGAATGTAACACTGTCGTGCAGATGGTGTGAGATATATTTTGCTTTTTTCGTGTGACTGTGCCTCTAGCGAAACACAGTCAGGGGGTGTGCGAATTGCATATTCCCTATTTAGCATTCATGTCATGACTTTGCAATTGTCATTTCAATCAATGGGCATTTCACCATAGCCCTTTTTCCAAGCTCAAAGATCGGTCGGAAGACCGGTGAATCCAACGTGAAGGACTTTGGAAAGAGAGTTAAAAGCGCAGGACCACTTGTCTGACCGTGGAGGACTTTGTGTGTCTAACGCAAGGAGTTTGAGGTGTGGACTAGTACCTGGCTTTTCTGGCCGCAGACGTGTCAGGACTGTCAGTGCTAGTACCCCCGATAATATTACCCGGGTGAACCTGTCGCGAACAAAAACCACCAACCAGTTAATATTACCAATCTCCTTCACCGGCGCCAGGTGGTCTTCGCCTTCTTCTTCCAAGGCGACGTCTTGGGCGAAGCCGCCAGCGACAGCCTCAGCCAGCTGGGTGCCGCGATGATCTCGGCCTGGGGCGTGGTGGCCTTGGCGAAGGAGACCTGGGCGCCGGAGGCGCTGTTCCCTGGGAAAACCATGGCAAAATCCGATGGAAGATTGGAACATCCTGGCAAAATCCGACGAAAAATTGGACAAGCATGGGAAAATGCCATGGAAAATGCTATAGAAATGGAGGGAAGCCATGGTAAAGCCATGGTAAATGCGATAGAATTGGGATGTTGATAGCTGGGTGAACCCTGTAAAGCCCCCTATAGTTATAGGGAAGTTAGTTGGGTTAGTTGGGTTACTCTCTGCTATTCAAACATGGCGATGGAAAGTCATTTGCACATGCCCCCCCCTTAATGGGAAAGTCATCAAACTGAACGGTAGATGTTCTGTTGTCATGTTTGATTACCAGAGGGTAGTTGGGTTACTGTAGTTAGCCTTTGAAGCAATGTTTTAGCTCGATAATGTGTCGTTTTCTGTTTCCAGAGGTGTTTCATATTGTTTGATGGTGTTCTTGTGGGGCATGGGAATATAAAATTTAAGATAAATGTTTGAAATGTTTGAAATGTGTTTCAAAAGTTGGGGCATTTTCAAGAGACCTTCCAAGATCCTCCCCTAGGTGGACGAGAAAGAGGAACCCTTGTTGAAGCGCTGAAGTGCAGCGTGCTGGATGATGCTAGATGGTTATCTCCAGTAAATGCCCAGGAACCCATCGGTTACCCATAGGAAATGTTCACCTTCTTTGGTTGAAAAAGGTGGAAGAGTTACCGGCTGTTGAGTATTTAAATAGACAGCACTCTGCTGAAGAGGTTACCGGCAGGCCAACAATGGCAGGTGATTCCAGGGGTCGATTTTCCAATGATGGTTACAAAGCCTTCAGGTAGTTGTTGGTGGTTTGGAACATGTTTTATTTTTCCATATATTGGGAATATTCATCCCAAGTGACCAATATGTTTTCAGATGGGTTGAAGCCACCAACCAGTAGTTCAATGAGTAGTTGTTGGTGGTTAATCAACCCAAAATAAAGCCTAAATGAAACCATCTGACAAAGTCATGGGCTTCATCTGGAGATGATTGCAGTTAGATTGATCGCTTCCCATTGTTTTGCTCGTCATCAAATGATGAGCCGCACAATTTTAAGTCATGGGACGCCCCGTACAGTGGGAGGTTTTCAGCAGTATCATCTCATCAAGACGGTGAGAAGATGTTTGCAAAGCCTCCCTGGATTGTTTGGGTCAAAATTCCCGGAGGGATTGGATGCTGCAGATGTGTTGGTCGTTTCTACAAATGTTTGAGTCCATGATTTTGACCCAAAGTCTGTTCATAGCTGGAGGTATCCACGTTGGCCAAAATGGTGCAGCCTTTTTGAGGGTCCTTTTAAGTGCGGCAAGGCTAGGGGAAATACTCTATAGAAACACCTCCAAGAACCTTTTACATGTTCATATCCTATAGTTTGTAGTATGATATATACTGTTATATAGTATAGTATAGTATAGTATATTATATGTTATATATTATATAATATAGTTATAGATATACACTGAAGATCTGAACTTGGATTGGGGCTGAAGTAGAGTTGCGTGGGGAGTCCAGTCCGCGTCTCGTAAACAAGTTGGTCACTGAAAATCTACCGTACATTGAAACTGGGAACTCCCATCGCTGCGCTTGGTCATTACATACACAGGAAGTCTCGTCCTCTGTTTGAAATTCTATGAGATATGTTGAGCTTTGATTCAAAGGATTTGCTATCTACCCATCACAGCTCCAATCACTATCAACCAACCGGTACAAAACTTGGAACCGATTCAGCCCATTAGCCGCCGGCTGACCCCCCAGCAACCAAGTGGTTTCATTCGAGTTTATGAATGTTTATGAAGCATCAACCACTAGGCCTCAACATTACCTGTATGAACCATGAAGTCTCCTCAACCGGACGCCGTTTGGAGGTTTCAACTTTGGTCCCAACTTCAAACACGCGGCGCCCAGCAGTTCCTTCACTACCTGGCCGGGTGGAGGCGACATGTTGGTGCGGGTGGATTGTCCCATCCTGGGAAACTCGCAACGCCACTGGGCAGAACATGGCAGCCGTGACAGGTGGGGGCATGGCTGATGGGATGGACTTGACGTTCTGGTGGAGGTATGGGTCCAGAAGCAATCTTTGGAACTGCGTTTTTTTTGTGTTTGTTCGACATTAAACAACATTAAACCACTAGTTTGTTGGATGACTTATGGCAATCAATGCTTTAAGACCCGGAGGAAGCTTGCTCTGCTCCAAGGAATCCGTATCTACAAAGAGATCCAGATCCATGGCGAGGTAAGTCTCAAGCGAAATGTCCAACGCCTGGTTGCCAACAAAAAGCTCCTTGAGATGCCTAGTCAGAGAGGGCAGAGGGCTGGGGCTGGTGCCATGACTATTGACTACTATTGGGGGTTTTATGGGGAGATATGGGAAGATAGGAGGTTGGGAAGGATTTCTGACTCTAAGGCTGGTACTGCAGTCTTTATAATACAAGATGAAGTTGGTGCAGCATGTCAATATCATATCAACCTCAGAAGTTGAAAGGAAAATAATTTGTACAGACACATATTTAAGACCGTGTGGGATCGATGATATTATAAATTATATATATATATATATATCATTATATAAGTCCCGTTTAATCCCTTAAATCACAGTATATCACCATTTTTCTAATAGAAAGTCCCGTTTTGCATCCCGGTTGCGCGGTCGGTGGTGAGGTTCTTGGAGATGCAAAAGAGTCAGCGCTCCTGGGCCATCCGCGTGGACGGCCTGGAGCCAGAGTTCAACGGCTCGTATCAACGCGCCGGGGCCAAGAACAACATGCCCTTGTATCGCAAGAATGGGGCAGCTTGGTGGAACTTTCTTGTTCAAACATGATGAAAATTCATAGTCATTCAAAACCACCTGTCAGTTGATGATTTTGCGGTGCAGTGTTATACTAAACAATATAGTTTAGTTTAGTGAATTTATTACATATTTTTCTATAAACTATAGATGATATTCTTGTACGCGATGTATCAATACAATACAATAACATGATAAGTAATTATTATGTTATATGATTCAGTGTGACACATTTGACATGTTGACTTGGCATGACTTGGCCATAGAATTGTTTCGGTACCCCCTCAAGCTTTTCAGGGCAAATGTGCCATTTTCTTCAGCGAGAAGAAGGAGTGGCGCATCGTTGAGCTGTCGGACACTGAGATGGAGAAGGTAGACTTGGAACAGCAGTGCCTTGGAATTGAGAATTCTCTGAGCTGGGGGGAACTCATGGCAGCTAAAGTCTGGATTCAGGAACCAATATGTGCTGCAATGAAAAGACATAGCTTTGCAGTACAAAGGTCGATGACTCTCCAACAAACATAGAGAATGAAGCAACAGATTTGGGTGACCATAGAAGGGCAGCTTAGAAGGGATCATCAGGAAACGGTCACAGCGAACTCACTAGCCAAACTCATCAGAAATGATGGCTGGAAAGGGGAACCATATCAGTATAGATTTGTCCAGATTTATTAACCTCAAGTGAAGGAGATGGACGTTCCACCAGTGGCTGCGGATGAGGTGGTTTAGGATACAGAAGTGACAGAATCTGACTGAAGTTGTTGGGATGAAAGAATGGCCTTATCCAGGTCCACATCAAAGGCATGAGCTTGGTCCATTTGACAGCCACAATCATCATGGAAGGCGAGACTAGTTTGAGTATAAACCATTCAGCATGAATAGCTAGCCGGGATGGTGATACTAACTCACTAGATGGGTTGAAACCACCACTGAGATATGCAGATATGCAAGCAGGACCATGTCTTCGCAATTAGCTCTTCAAGCCTCACAGTCTTCAAGATTGGAGCAAGATGGTGAAGATTCAATTTGTAGCATGACCATCATGAATGGAGTACTGCAGCAGCTTTTTATTTGTAACAGAAACAAGCACTCTATCACTCCATCAGTTCCAATCCATCCAATCCATGTTTTGATTTCCAAAGTCAAAAAGGCTGTCACAAAGCTCCAAGGACATCAAGAGGCATTGTCTTAGAATATTTACCCTCTGGTTATGACTAACATAGCTATGGAAAATGGCCCATAGAAATAGATGATTTTCCCATTAATACCTCTATTTATAAGGGATTTTCCATGGCTATGTTAAATGACCAGATGGTAATACCATATGTATTTATTTTTACCTGACAGTGACAATCCATCCCCTTTTGCCTTGGTCCATCTTGGTCCCACATCACCATGGAACCATGTATCTGGCATGGCCCTGCACCGCCCGTGCCGCATGGCCGCAGCGCCGTCTCAAGTGCAACAGTGCAGCGGGACCATTGCTGTACCCAGTGGAGGAGCTCCCAGCACCATGTTACGGGGCATGTGGGCACGGCGGGCGCCGGACGCAGGGCTTCTTGGCAGTTGGGCAGTTGGAAGAAGATCTGCTGGACTATCTCAGGAATGACTCCTGGTTCGACCCAAGGAACCTTGGAAATTGGGGATTCCAGACAGATCGCAAGGAGCCTTTCCTGTCGAAGGCGGATTGGCACACCTTCCCCCAGTTGCACGACGACTTTGTTGGGCTGGTCCCCCGCCTGGGGAAGGCGGCTCCCCTGCGGCGCGCGCCCCAGCGCTGCCTGGCCTTTGCTGAATCCCTGCGACGGAGGATAAGCTGCAGTATCAGTGGTGCGGTGGCGGGGGAGGAGGGGCGATGGTTGGGAACAGCAGTGGCCACGGGTCGCTTTGGGGCAGTGGAAGCGCAGGTGCAGCTGGTGGACGACACTTGGCAGTTCATGAGGTCACATCGCGATGGTGCCAGTGGTTTGTTGCAGCTGGGACTGACCTTGCAAGGTTCCAGGTACTTGCGGCTCGGCTGCCATGGTAACGCAACCTCAGCCGATTCGCCGCAAAACGTGTAGGACGAGGATGGTTGGAAAGGTGGAGATGGCAGTTTGATCATGTTGCCCCTGACGGCCGGTCAGGTGTACCTGGCCACCCCGGCGGTGTTGGAACACGGCGTGGCATACGAACCCCACGGCGCCACGGTGGCGCTGATGTTTCGCCTGGCACTGCCTGACTCAGCTGTTGCTGAGGAGGTGAACCGGTGCCAATGCGAGGCCTTCCATTTGTTGGCCGGGAAGGTGGCCCGGCAACTGCAGCATGCCCTGGATGAGCAAAGGCTCCACCTGCCCTCCTTGGCAGATGTGAAGCAAGCTGAGTTGGAGATGGAAAAAGTCACAAGACCCCCCAAGGCCCCAGGAATCAGGAATTGGTATGTATGATGTATGTATGGATATGTATGGGATATCGACGTTTAGCCCCTTCCGCTGTAAAGGTGTGGGCTGGGAACATGTCAGATGGTGAAGGTTATGCGTTTGACAATGCCTTGACCATTCTATTTCAACCAGGAAAAGGGGGAACTGTAACGGCAGCATTTGATTATTTGTGGTCCCTTTCCTGCCGAGACTATCTGGAAGTGGTTGCTCAAGGATGTTCAAAGCGATATTGAAAGGAAAACCCCAATGTTGATTGAGAGGAAATCCAAAGGTTGAATATTGCTTTATGGGTTTTGTGTTTTAAAAAACAAATTACCCCAGTCAATTTAGATGTTACAATTTTAATCAATTTTACAACTAGGAACATAGAATATATTTATATGGCCTTGAATAAAACCACGAATTTGCATGGATTTGAGCCATTGTTTGGAGGGTCATTGAGTCAATGAAACTAGTTTCGTCTACGCACTATTAATTCAGGTCAAAGGCAAGTAGCGTCCAAAATTGGGTTCATATTTACATCGTTCCAATACATTCCGGAAAAAACTGTTCTACGTCAAAGTACGTAATTATTTGGGGATGGGTCAAAACCTTGTACCCCTGGTGAACATCAAAATAGCTGGTAAATGGATGTTCATCCCCTAAAAATGGTATGTATAGGTATTGATCCATAGCCATTCATTCTATATAAATCAAAGGCATGTTGTCACCGCTGGGTACCAGGGTGAAATATGGTGAAATCACCCAAACAAAACCCGTGCAGCCTGTCATTTCCTCCACATTCACACTGAGTCATGGTGGAAGTACGGTGGAGGCCACAGAACCTGCTTTAAAACATTTAGCTGGGGATGTCCCATTCGTAACTGGTTGACTAACCAAGCCACCAAGTCAATCCCATCATTTTTTGCATACTACTTATACTACTTATCATACTCTGATCTCCCTAGTTAGTTGTTTCATATTTTGGCAGCGTCACCCACTTTGACCCCACACAAAAACACTTTCCAAGTTGGGAAATCCTGCACACTCCATAACATGACATCATGCAATATCCATTACTATCCTATCATCACCTATAATCCTAGCTATAACTTGGAAATCCTGAAAAATCTGCCACATTTTATGGTGGGTTTTCCATGGGTTTTCCCAGGTTTTTCCTGGGATGGATGGACCATGATAGACCCTTCCCCCATCCTCGACCTTCCTCGACCTTCCTCGTCCCCGGGGGCCGCAGGAAGGTCATGGCCCACGCCTTGGCCTCGGAGCTGAAGGACGACACCGCGCCACCGCGCATCGGATGGGAACGGCCTCCGGAGGAGATGGGCTACGTGGCCGTGGAGGACTTCAGGCGCGGGCCGTGGGGCCGCCGTGGGCCTCGGGTGGGCCTCGGGTGGCAGTGGTTGGTGGAGATCTTACCACAGGGAATCTTAGTAGCCTCTGGTAAACGTAACCACATAACATCACATAACCCATAGGATCCATGTATGGTATATATACTAACATTGGGGGTATATTGATGGTAAATGTTTCCATATATAGCATACATGGATCCTATGGGTAACTATGGAAAATCATGGACAATCAGCATGTTTGGGCTTTTGTCCACTATTTCGATGGCCATGTGAAAAATAGCCAGGTAACAAATTACCAGAGCGTAGCCCATCTTTAAATGATGTTGAGTCTGTTGAGTACTTACTGACTTACTGTTTGGAGTTGGAAAGATTGGGAATTAAGATTCACTTCTTTAACTCGATTTTAAAGGGTTTTAGACGAAAGAAGAGTTGGTTTTGATGAACCACCATGAACAAACCATTAAAGACTGGGGTGGAATAGTGAGATAGAAAAGCAACCAGTAAGGCTTAGTCCTTACCTGCAGACCCAAGAACTCAGATGTATGATGGGATGTTGACCGCATCAATTGCCGCGGATCTTCCATTGGGTCCATGGTTCTACCCCTAAGAGTTTACTGGGAATGCATACAATACTGTCAATGGAAGAAATCCTGCACCACCTTGGACGCTTGAAACCCGATGAGGATGGATAAACCACCCATCAACTGGTGCAGGAATTCTTCCAATTTCTTCCACCCACTGTATGATGATTTTATGATCCCAATATTTCAGGATACAAATAGTCAATGGATTGGTTTAAGTTTAAAAAATTACAGGAAACCCATGGGTTTTTACCATTAAATACAGGGGTTTTCCTGTAAAATTTCCCCTAAACCAATCCATTGAAATAGAAATTGGAATCCTGCGTCGATTTTCCAAGATTCTCCAGTCACCGGTCGGCAAGCTGGGAAGGGCCCCCATTCACGAAAGGATGGCCAAATTTTTAGGGGACCCCATTCCACTGGTGAATTGCCCAGGCTGCCCAGGTGTCCAAATAAAGTGGCCAGATTTTTTTGGGATGTAGATGTGGTACATCTTTATCATTGTAGATCCACCATGTTCCCAAACACCCAACTATCGGTATTAGTTATATTCTGTTATAATTTATAATTAGATATAATTAGTATATTTTCCATTACATTTGATAGGTCCTTGAACCCCCAATTAGTGTTGGTTGCTTCAATCAGGTTCAATCCGATTCAATCCCAGAAATGTGACGGGTCATCTCCACCACTACAACAAATCCACATGAAATCCGCTGGTCATAGTGCCATATTCCCGTCATGGCCATGGTGGCGCAGTCCGATGGCGCAGTCCGATCCGACCAGCCGACCAGTCCCCAGGAGTGCTATGAAGAAGGGCAGCAACGATGCGGAATCCTCCAAGATCATCCAACTGCTCCGAGGTCCAAAATGGGACCCTGAAAAAATACCAAAAAACATGGGGAATCCTGGAGGATGTTGGGCTCAAACATGGTCAAATTCATTGGGCTCAAGCATGTTGGTTGAAGCATTGGGATTCTGATGGTTTTTTGGAGTCAGGAAGGTCAGGAAGATGTCATGCGATTTCATCAGTTGAAGCAATTTCTTCTGAGAAATTGATGAGCAATGACACGTCCGGGTGTCGATTCGCAAAAAACCTCCGTGAGCATCGAAGGCAACTGAACCTTGGTGAATCTGAAATCATGACCAACTTGATGAACACCACCTGTTTTGATCACTGGTTGGATACATCCATAGCTTCGCGCCTGCCACCAAGTGGAATCCCACTGGATGTGAGAAGCCACTCTGTTTGTGGGTGAAGCTGTTGTAGCACACATGAGATGTTGAAAAACCAGCAAGGATTTAGTTTAATCGTATGTTACACACATTTGCAAGAACCAAAGATTGATTTGCAAAGGGTTTGATCATGTTTTATCTTTGCCTTTCTGAGAAAACATCAGAAACTGGTGCATGTGATACTAACATATAACTGACTGGTGGTTTGGAACATGTTTTATGTTCCATTTTATATATGGGAATTTCATCATCCCAACTGACGAACTCATATTTTTCAGAGGGGTTGGTCAACCACCAACCAGATTATTATTAACCATCATTAACTATATATTAACCATATAGTAACCATATATTAACCATTATTAACAGTATATTAACCACCAACCAGTATAGCATATACAAAACACTTCTGGCTTGACAAATCCTCCACGGCCAGGCACTGTGAGTGGAGAGGAAGTCGTCTTCCGTTCACCTGGGACTGCTGGGCACTGGGCACTGGATGCAGTTCCATGGGATGTGCCGTTTGTTGAGAGTGTTAGCCTCTGACAAACTAACATACTGATGGCAAATCAACATGTTTAATTATAGTAGGTCTATAAATCAACCATATATATACGTATATATATATAAATGATAAATGATAAATGACCATTTTCGATAGCCATGTTAGTTTACCAGAGTGATATATGTTTGGATTGTGAAAGATCCTGAGAATTCAAAAGCTGTATGAACTTCAGAAGCCGACATTTCTTGGTTCATGCTTCTGCGACAGCCCAATCTGCAATGCCGTAAATTCAAATGGATATGGAACCGTTAGTAGATCAATGTAAGTCATTTTCTTTGGCAAAACCATGTTTGTTTTCCATGTTTTCTCGTTTACGACACAACAGGGTGCATCACTTTAACGGCAAGACGATGTGGAGGGTATGTCTTGCGTGAGGAAAACCACCTTGGAAGCGGAATGGGAGAAGCTGGCGAATCCGGGCATGGGCGCTGAAGCCACGTGGAGCGCAGCCGTGGAGATCTCCCAAGATCGCTTGATGAACAAATTGGGCCTTCCTCAGTGCAAGGTGATTGAGACGGCTCACCCTTATGAGTCTCTTGGCTTAAATGGCTACGGCTAGGAAAATCTACAGGGCTCTGGGTTGCTATAGTATATAAAACATTATAAAACAGTATATCATAGATTAATAAACCTACAGGGCTGAAGCCCTGTTTGCTTCACAGCAAAGGAGCTGGGATTCCGAATCCAACTCTCAGTGGCCCGAGGACGGCAGAGCATTCCTTCACCAAGACTGTGTCCATTGAGACCGATGGCCCCATCGAAGTGCACTTTGGAAAGGCAAGGCTATTGACTCACCATGGGAAAGAGATGGAAAAATGCTGGGACACCTGGGTGAAGGCGTGGTGAATGGATTCATTGATGTTAATTATATTGTTATATTATTTAATACATGTTATTGTTCGATTTTTTCGTTTTGCAGAGATGACATTCCACTAGAAATTTCTCCTGTAGGGGCGAGGTTTATGATACGCAGAAAACAGTATTTCTGGTCAAAAACCAAGCACTGGGGGTTTGGAGGTGCAGCATCAAACTTGGAATTCCGACATTTCTAGTCTCAAAGCATCCCATCTGGGTAAATTATAACGACCTCACTGCGACCTCACTGGAATCATGGTTAGTAAGGGAAATCATCCCCAAATGGCCTTAATTCAGGTTAGTGAAAAATTATAATTATTATAATTTACCCAGATCCCATCTTTATATACCAACTGCGGGTACATTGCTCTCGCCGTCCCTGGAGTGTTTTGTTTGCTTCCCCACCTCCGGGTCCATCCAGGAGTGCCGAACCTATGACCACCGTACCACTTTGTGCGTCTACGGGGGAGGGCTCAGCAAAGCCTTGGTGGGTGTTGGTGCGCGCGTCCATGTTAAGGCACGGACATGTTCACCCCCAGTGATTTATATGTTGGCTGATGACTCAGAAAACCTCATGCTGTTGAGGTTCATATATCAACATACATCATCATATATCATCATATATCAACATATATCATCATATATCATCATATATCTTCATGATTCATCATGATTCATCATGTGCCCTTTGGCAACAGCCAATGTATTGGGGCATAACCATTTGTCAGGACCGGTCCCTCCATGGGATGTGCACCTGACAGGTCCCTACAGGTCGTGAAGAAGCACACGGCACCATCTTCGGTCGGGCTGAAGGCACCGTTGCGCAACGGTTGCTTCCGGGTGACGTTGGGAACATGAGAAACGATGCTTGCCAACCTATGAAAGGATCTCTGTTGCGACTTGGTCTTTCCAATTCTAACAATGTGTGTGTGTGGATTCTCATTATAACATATTATAACTTCATCTTCAATGATCTTTAATTCTCAATGTTTTTGTTTGCTGATAATCATCTAATATCATATATCTCCCACTCTTCCATTCGTTGGGCTGGACCAGGTGGGCGATGGAAGGTGCGCGTGGACAAGGACGAGGCTGAGATCTGTGGCTGCTTCAAGGAATGGGTCGATTCTTCGGACAATGGACGAGAGCCCTGGCAAAACCCTGACATGTGGCATGTCTCTATGGGAAGAAGATGGACATATTCCATGGACGGATGAAGATGATATCTGAATTATTATTAACAATACTATATCATAATATATCCGTATATCATTGGATATTATACTATTCTTGTTTTTGGATTAATAACAATAAACTGTCGTAATAACAATAATATCATATGCCTTCAGGATCCCCCGGAAACGTACTACGCTGTTTCACCGCTTTCCGCTTCGCTAATGTGACGTCGACGACAGACCTGGATCCGAGAAAACACACATCAGGATCTGGCTGGATTTTTGGACCACAAGTAGTAAGTAGAGTGAGAATTTGACCCACAAAGTGTTTCACTATTTGTGTAAGATGTGTAAGAGAATGAGTCTTAGATCTTTGCCGATTTCACTTGGATCAAATGGTTTATGTTTCTGTTTGTCACTCACTCATTCGAGGATCGCTACTGCATGAGCTGTGTTGCTGAAGAGCAGAAAAAGTGCACGGCGACTTGGCAGTGGCAGAAAGTATCAGAAAGTACAGTAGCCCATTTAGCCATATTTAGCCCATCCAAGACTTCTTGGTGCAAGATGAGGTTTCCCTGTAATTCAGAACTCTCCATCCAGCGCAGCTGATTGATACAGACCATGGAGAGATGACCTGCCGACTTCGTTGTTCACTGACCCGACATGACCGGACGAGGTGATCTATTCGGATGGAACCACGGTGGGCAGTGAGATTGCTGGATTCAGGCCGCTCTTCAGCCATAGGGATCTCCCAAAATGACACTTGTGGATGTGGAAAAATGGTGAAAAATGATGATTCACCACGAATCAGCATGAAAAAAGAGGGGGATGCCCCTTGCGATCTGTTTGGGAACCTCTATGGAGAGGGTGTTGGTTTGAACTTAGGGACAACCCCGCGCCCATGTTTTTCAGTCTTCTGACATAAACACAAGTAGTAATACAGGTAATAGACCACGAAATCAAACGGTGCATGTCCGCCAAAACTATTCTATTTATATGTATATGTAATTATATGTATAGTTCTGTTTGAACCTCTCCATAGGCTAGATCCCCATAGATGTTTCCAAGGTGATATCCCCGTGCTGTTGGTCAACTCCCCATTTCTATTAGCTGGATCATTTTTGCTGGACTGTATGTTGCCATATGTTACCCCTTATATTTTTGTACGTTGGTTTGTTACAGGGTTGATAGTTTAATCCCATCCCCCTTATCTTAGAATACGCACCACCTGATTAGTCGTGGATCTATTCACGCCGTGGGTCCTTACGGCTGTTTTAATATTCGCGGGGTGGGATTCATGTGGTACCATGGTAAACCCAATCATAGAACTGCCATTTGGGGCTGGTTTATGGCTGGGTTTACCACACTCTGACGTGTTTTATCCCATAAAATCCCATTGAATCTCGAGTGTTGCTGGGTAAAGGTCCACTAATTCATTGACCCAGATCATATATGATCATATTATGATCATATTATATCATATGTACTAAGTATCTATAAGTATTGAGTATACTGGGATGATTGTGATGATTGATTGGGATGGTTGTGATGATTGTGATGATTGATTGATTGTATTCATATTATATCATATGTACATATATGTACTATTTCATCATGTTCATCCGAATGTTTCTTGATTCACTGGCCGTTCACTAAACCACCCCACCAGGTTTGATACCTCGGATCCCTTGGTTCCCTTCTCCGTCAGCGGCTTCAACGCCAAGGCGTTAAATGCTGGGTTTCTTTGAACTAAGCGAAATGGTGATCTTTTCTGGTTCTAAGCAAGAGTTATCCTTGAGAAATAGTGGTTAAATAGATGGTTAAATAGATGGTTAAATAGATGGTTAAATAGATGGTTAACCAATGTTAACCGTGAGAAAAGAATAGAAAAGATGGTTAAATGCTGCTATAGAAATCGATTTTTTATCTATTGTACTGGGGATGTGGCGTATTATGACGTGGATTGACATGGGAGATCATGGCGGTTTATACATATTTTTATGGTATCTTATGGCGATGATGAGGATTGATCAAACGTGGCTCGGGAATCCCTGAACTCAATGGGCCGATTGACATGTGGGTCATGGTCGGCACTGAAGAGCACACACTCTGGTAGAGAACCATGCCATCCCAACATCAACCACTGGGAATCTCGAATTCACCAACTTCAATTTTGGGAATTGAATTGGGAAACCGGGTTTCAGTCTCTCGTTTCTGTGCGATTTCCCTTGATCAACCAGGGATTGACTAAGAATAATTGCTGACACATGATTATATGGCTATGGATCAATACCTATTAATACCATTTTTAGGGGGTTATTCACATCCATTTACCAGCTATTTTGATGTGAACTGCAGGGGTACAAGGTTTTGACCCATCCCCATATAATTCTGGTCAACTTTGAGGACTCAGTTTGAAAAAAACATGGATGAAGGGAGAGGTTGCAGGGAACACCCCCATATTTTGCTCCAGGGCCCTGCGCAGACAGCGGGCGTCATGGTGGGTTGGTTCCTGGACTTGGGAGCCTTGCTAAAGGAGGACAGGGGAGTTGGTATCTGATGGTATCTGGGTTGGTGTATGAAAGTGGTGGTATACCATGGTATACCCTCAAATTTCCATGTTTGTATGGCGTTTTATAGTGATTTTAATGATGTTTTAAGACATTGTGTGGCCATTCAAAGATGGGGAAAATGACTATCATCCACTAAGAATGGATTTATACCCATTTATCCCCAAATGCAATGGTTGAGAACATCATGTTTCCTATTAACATCTCAAGATATGGATGGGTCTGAAATTGGTGGTTAGCACCCCAAAACATCAATGTGATGGGGAAAATAATCCTTTGGTTTTTTTGGGTACCTCATTGTCAGGTCAGATCTCATGTACATGGACTGATCGAAACACACTCGGGAATGTGGGGGATTCTGTCATAGTTCAGCCAGCCAAATTGGGGATTAGTGCAATATACTGTAATATCACTACATATCACTACTTTTTCACAAACAAAAAAAAAAAGAGGATATTGCTCCGCGAAATTCGTGGAATTTCATCAAGTAATTAGTGGCACCTGAATCCACCTACAATGTGGGGCCCCCAAGATAGCGTTCAGTTGGTTTATAACTACAATTTCACTAGGGTTTATGGTAGTTATAACATGTTATAACCATAGTTGGATGGGGTTATAAACCAACAAACATAACGTTTGGGGCCCCACATCTTATGGATTAAACAATGGATACAACCATATAAAACCATATGTTTAAACCAACTTATGGCCCCACATTGTATCCATTGTTTTAAACATGTTTAAACACCGACGAAGGATTCAACCGGCCAGGAGCAGTTCATAGAACTGGACGCCCCGGAATTGGGGCCTGTACCAACTTCCATGACGGAGGCGCTGGCGGGTGATTTTTTTCGCGTTGGAATTTATGGGTGTGTCTGAAAATGTTGTGTACCCCTAAACCCAATGGTTAATTATGATCATTATCCCTATGAAATGGCGATAATAATTGGGAATATAGCCTATTTTCAGACAAAACCTTATCACCCTGTTGAAGAGATACCCTCTGGTTATGTCAAAATAGCTATTGAAAATGGTGATTGATAGTGGATTTTCCCATTGAAAATGGTGGATCTTTCCATAGTTATGTAAACGTTTACCAGAGGGTAAGTCATCTGAGGGCCATCTTCCACAGCTACATTTAAAAATTACCGGAGGGTTTGATGGGTGTAAAAACCAATAGGTCTTCGTAAGGTTTGCCTCTATCTTCCTGTCGTTCGCATTTGCTTCGACATGGAGCAATACCTGTACAGGAAGAGACATGTTCAAGGAGCCATGGCTTAATCCTCCATCCTTGGAAGAATGCCTTGGCGCAATCCAGCTGTATCTACCTCGAACATGGATGCAAAACCAATTTTCTACATGGGGGTTTCTTAAAATGAGGGGATCCCCAAGTCACCATGGGGTTCAATACTAAGATGGTCGTTCATGACTTGGATTATTTCTGGGGTACCTCCATTTTAGGAAGTCTCCGGATCACTTCAGAAATGTGGGTCCATGTTTGAATCGGAGAAAATGTTTGAAGCTATATATATATATAATTATATATATAATATTCTATCCCAACTATATCCCCATGATATCCCCATTGTATCCCAACTCCCTGGGCAGGTGGCAAACAACATTGGAAACTTCCAGAAGCGTTTGGACATGTTGCTCTCCCTGACCGATGCTGGGAGTCCAAAGTCCATGAAGCTGCCAGTTGGGTTGCCAACGAAGATAACCAGGAGTGGGAAGTTGTCATAGCTGGGAACCCCTTCAGCTTCAATTTGCACTATATTATATAGTTTAAATATATATATATACATACAGTAAACATATTTATATTTATGTGAGATACTGTTTTGTTTTGTTCTTGCCATACCTGGTGATGTTCCAACTCAAATTATATCTATATGGGAGGTTCCATACATGGGGGGTTACCCCAATAGCTGGATGGTTTATAGTGGAAAATCCTATTTAAATGGATGACTTGGGGGACTCCCATTTCAGGAAACCTCCATATCTATATATAAGATTGGTTTCTAAGTAAAATTGGTGTCCATTTTGTTTGTTCTTACTATATAACCAGATGAGTGTGTGGTTTTTCTTGCCGGGGTGTCACAGATTGGCAACGAGGTGGCGTTGACCTTTGTGAACGGTCTGGATTTTCAGCTGCTGCCACAGTGCCGAGTGAAGTACGAGGAGCCAAAAAAATATCACCAGTGGATTTAAGGGGAAAGAATCGATGCAAGGCTGGCTGGTGGTTTGGTTGATAATGGTTAATCATGGTTAATAATGGTTGATAATGGTTAATAATGGTTAATAATTGGTTAATAATGGTTAATCATTGTTAATAATGGTTAATAATGGTTGATAATGGTTGATAATGGTTGATAATGTTTGATAATGGTTAATATTAGTCAATGTTTCCATATATTGGGAATAATCATCCCAACTGACAATATTTTTCAGAGGGATTGAAACGTATTGAAACTACCAACCAGAAAGACATGATTTATAACGGGACAATGGTGGTTTTATACTGGGATATTTGGGATCCTGGTGTCAAATATGATTCATGCGCGAATCTACACATGGGGAAGTCACCGAACTAAATCAAATATTGTCCAGCTATCCATGCTTTATTGCGCAGAGGGTAATAGTCTTGATATGTATACATATTCTATGATATTCTATGAATTCTATGATATATCAGTGTCATACCAAATTGCAAAACTACAGTATCCAGTTCCATGCAAGCGTTTTGAAGAACATTTTCCTCATTATTCAGTGGCTACAAGTAGACAAAGCCACATGACACTTAGTGTGATACTACAAGCACATAGATTTCCCCGAACAGCCACAACATCACAACCTCGATCATTATGAGTTTGAAAAGTTCTTTTAATTTGCAGGGGTTGGTAAATATTTGGTTCTAAGGATTTCTTCAATTCAACACCACCTTAATGATGGTTGGAGCTGATCGGTGTATACGTCAAAATTGCGTACCCCCAAACAAAGCAGATGGTTGTAATATATAAGCTATATGGATACTAAACATCTACAAGAATCAGGTATCCCAATAGTTATAGGTGCGTAGTAATTAAATGCTATTATTTCTAAACCTATACCACACATATACTACATATATATATATTAAATCATCTGGAAATCAATTTTGACCCATGCCCATTTCCGCAACAACGCACATCGCTGGCGCAGGAGGCGGTGGGCTCCGAGATCAGTGGCCTCAGCGAGAAGGGCGGCGTCATTACGATTGATGGCTTCAGCAAGACCGCAGGCCACCGCTGTGACCACAGGCGGAATTCCATCCACTTATTGGGTAATGGGAGATAATGGGATGGAATGGCATATATGTTTTCCACATGTATAAATATATTTATACACATATAAACATTTGTGGTACCCCTATTCTAGGAAGGCTCCACTCCATCCTACCCGGGATGGTCTCAAGTGGACAGTATGTTGGGGAATATCCCCATTGAAACCCTTGAAAAAACGGAGATCTATTCATTTTTGGAGGAACATATGGGGGCATTTGATATGTCACAAAGGGGGTGATCATCCTTCTTGTCCATCAGTTTTCTTGATGCTTCTCTCCAGTTTTTTTGGCAGGGTCTATGTTCATTTACTGGAGGGCAATTTCCAGTGCCATGGCCACTGGATTTTCCGGACATGAAGATCCCTCTAGCCTGACCAATGATTGCACGTCAGTGGTGTTTCTAGAAGATCTCTTTCAGATCTTCCGGAATTTTCAGACATGTAGGGAGCACATAGCCACGATCCATGCATTTTGTTCTCACTAAAACAGGGTATCCCGGTCCATCATGGTTCATCATCTGCCCCATGAGCGCCGGGAATGAAAACCCTTGAGCCAGGCCCCGCACAGCAGGTGGGTGCCGACATGATTACCGTGGGGTGAACCTGTAGTCCCACCCAGAAAAAATGGTTCGACCCATTTGTGATTTCCTGCATGTCATTTCTTTGGCCCCATACCTGATATGCTTGATGTTGGATACCAGAAAAAACTGGGAATCAATAATCAACATGTTTGCTTGTTTTCAGAGTGCTAGGGAAACACCACTGGGGTGGTAGTGCCACAAATTTCACGATTTCGGGTCTCTATGGTCATGCTTAAGGTGCCAATGTTCGACACTCCATCCTATGGGAGTTTTTCTAAAATGCTAATCCAAAAGGGATAAATGAGTTTAAATGAGTGTAACAGTGCAACATATTTGACCTCCGCGATTGGAAACGAATGCAGCGCAAAATGCCCGGGAGTGGTCGGTGGTATGAAGTTGAATGCTAAGGTATGTCAATGTGTAATTACAACAATATGATATGCATATGCATTTTGTGCATGAAAAATCATAAACATGTGATAAAATGTGCATTTATTGTGTATACATCTACCAGCTGTTTATGAATAGCTATGGGGGTTTGTCTTATAAAACACAAGCACCAGAATTGGCAATCGGGTGTGATTGGGCCGCTGTTGGAACAATTTGATAGTCATACCCTTGAATACCCTTGAACCATTCCTGGCATGATGCATGTTCTTTTTGAATCTGTTTGATGTGCCTTTCCAACTTCTTCCAAACTTGAGCAGCCTTATTTCCCAATACGCCGTAATGGGAACAACTTTACCTATTTATCTTAGCTTCAAAACATTTGAGTCCCATACTTTGTTTTAAGGGAAAATCGTCACTATTTGATGTCAAAATCTTCAAAATCAATAGTTTCCTGCAGATTTTCCCTGAAACCAATCCATTCATCATTAGTCAAAAAATTATCTGGTTGGTGGTTTGGAACCTTTGTCATGTTTCCACATATTTGGAATAGTAATCCCAACTGACTAATAGTTTTCAGAAGGGTAGGTCAACCGCCAACCAGTTATCCATGTGTTAAGGCAAAATCCCAGTTGTTGTTTGTCAAATCCGATGACAAAATCCCAGCAAACCATACGTTTTATCGCGCCAGTCTGGAGCACGCGTCGGCTGGCAGCTGAACTTACCTGAAACCTTGCAATTGGCCATCAACGCAGGCGGGACGAAGAAGAAATGTCCAATAGCCTCTGGTTATTTAACATAGCCATGGTATAGATGGCCCATTTATAGATTGTTTACCTATTAAAAATGGTGATTTTCCATGGCTATGTTAGTCATAACCAGATGGTAGTTGTTAAACATTGCCCATTTAGTTTGATGATTTACTCACTATTACTGGTTGGTGGTTTGGAACATGGCTTTTATGTTCCTCAATAGTTAGGTCGGGATGATGATCCAATCTGACTTTCATATTTTTCAGGGGGGTAGGTATACCACCAATGAGATGAGCATTTCTTAGCTCTCAAAAACGGTGATGTTGTAAACGGTGAAATTCCCCGAGGCTACCCCCTTTCCATCGAACAGAATGGTGGATTTCACCAAGAGAATGGTAGAAGAAACACTCATCGACCAAGATTTTTCCCTATTTATCCTGCTAGGTTTCAAATAATGTTTTTTTTTGCGTTCGGTCATGGAATCATGGAACTGGGATCATGATTCCCATTGTTTAGGGGCTTGAAAAAGCATCAACCAATTGATGGAGTGTATTCTTTGGTAATCGAACAGTTTGCTATGGAACAACCTGAAGCATAATATGCACATCATCTATAAATGAACAATTTTCCATGGCTATGTTTGACTACCAGAGGGTAGCGGAAAGATATTGTTTAACAGATAAATATATCTTCACACAATTTCCATGACCATTGTTATAGTTTCTTCCACTTCTATACCCTTGAACTCGCATGAACTTGGCCACAGAAGTCGACCATCGTCCCTGCCAGGTAAATGGTCGGATCTCTCGCAGGTGCCAAATGCAGATGGATTCACATGGATTTGGAAAGATGAATTGAAAAAGATGGATTTGGATAAGGTAGATTTTTTTTATGCACAGATTAATGGCATTTCTTTATATTTATTTTAGTCTTCCCCAAGAATGTTGGGCATGGGACGACCCTAAAGTGATGCGATTTGATCCGATTTGGGTAGAAGGCATCGAAGATCTGCTTGGAATGATGGCCGTTGAACATCGTCTGAGTTCGCTTCGGGTTTGGGCCACTGCAACTCAAATGGGGATGGGTCAAAACCTATTAGTATCAATTGTAATGGGATGAACATCCATTTACCAGCTATTTTGATGTTCACCAGGGGTACAAGGTTTTGACTCATAGCCAAATGAGTCGTCACAAATTAGTGGAGAAAACAACAAATTCTCATGGGATTTTGGATACCATGGGGGGGTTTAACGACATTTGGCCCAAAACCAAATGATGCCGTGCCAGAAGGGAATTAAGTTACCCTCTGGTAAACTAACATAGCTATTGAAAATCACCATTTTTCATGGGAAAATCCACTATTTCTATGGCCATTTTCAATAGCCATGTTAAATTACCGGAGGGTATGTCCCGCTTTTGGACAGTGGGCCACAAATATCATATGGTTGGTTGTATATTCCCAGTATATATCCCCATTACACGACCAATATATCTCCATATCCCCATTAAACTCATTGAACCACAATGTTTGTTGCTTCCATCATGTTCAATCAGTTCAATCACCATCAAACCATGAAGCAAAATCCCAGAAAACATCCCCAGTAATTGGATGATTTCCCCATCATCTACCCTCTGGCAAACTAACATAACTATGGAAAATCACCATTTTTTATGGGTAAATCAACTATTTCTACGGCCATTTTCCATAGCTTTTTGTATGTTTACCAGGCCGGGTATACCCCAGGCCCATTGGATGATCGTTGCCACGTTTTCGCAGGACGATATCATCCAAGATCCAAGTAAACTGCTGGAGCTCTCGGAGGTGATGCTGGTCTTCGAACCCTCCACCTTTGAACCGGAAGAGTTTTTCAAGGGCAGCAGTCAAGGGCAGGAGCCCAGAAAACTGGGGGGAAAGAAATCCGTTGAGTACAAGGTGGTGCCCCATAGTTAGCTAAGTTGGTTTATAAGTCCAATAACTATGGTTTATGGCATTTATAACTATAGTTACCGGGGCTTATAAACCAACTTATAACTGGGGGGCACCATCCTGTAGGTGGTTGCTGTGATATCCATTTTGTTGGCAAGCTACTCAGGCTTCCGGCTCGGTTTGATGATTCAATTCATTTCAATTCCCTGAAGTTTTCGCAGGAAAAGTGGTGGTCACTCTAATCATCTCTAATCTGTTTCATCATTTCATCGTTTCTCACCGTTGTCCATTGGATTCCAATGGATATGTGTGATAATTTCTGGCCATTTAATAGGAGGAATGATGATCAACCAGCGGAATGGGGGTGTTCCGAGGATTTCAGGTACCAAAGCTCTGGATAATCTGGACCTTGGACAGATCAAGAGGATGTACACCCGCCAGCTTTAAACAGATCCAGAGATATCCAGAGTGAGATTGGCCATGAATGGCCATGGATGGCATGCATTTTACAATGAGCATGATCAGATTGATGAGGAATTCCGATGCGTTCAGCATGTCTGTACTCGTAGCTGTCAGTAGCGTGGTGCAGGAGGTGTGGAAACGCTTCCAAATGCCAATCAACACCGCTCAGAGACTTGTCAGATATAGGTCAACCTAGGACCAGAAAAAGAAAGATCGACCCCCCAAAATGGGTATGTAGGAAATTGTAGGAATAGTGAATGTGAATTGAAACAGTCGCTAGGTATCCTAGGTACAGGGCATGAGGATAGTGATTTCATATTTTTCTCATGCGTTGATCCTTCGGAAAGGGATCGATTTGGGCCTTCAATTGTGCCTCTTAGATGAGGAACCCAGAGAATAAAGCTAGAACCTGGACTGGGGGCCTCTCACAGCTGAATTATGCAGTGACCAACGTGGATTGTGAATCATAAATGATATTCATCAGATATTCAATAATTGTCATGTGTATATAAATCTGGGTAAATTATAACGACCTCACTGCGACCTCACTGGAAATCATACTTAGTAAGGGGAATCATCCCAAAATGGCCTTAATTCAGGTTAGTGAAATATTATAATTTACCCAGATAAATCATATCAAATCATCATAATTCATCCCATGGAATTACAGTACTTTATATGTCATTAACTAGTAACTATTGAATTATTTGACTTAGATGCTTAAAAAAACATGTAGAAGTCATCATGATCCATGTTATCATGTTTAACTATGCAAAAACAAGTAGAAATTATATATGAAAACAAAACATACATGTGATATATGATATATATGTATATATATATATGTATATATATATGTACGTAATATCTTAAATGTGACAAAAAATTAAACATAGAAAAACAGAT